TATGAAGGGTAGGGAAATGGTTGGTTATGAGTATAACCATAGTTACTACTCATCTCATGTGAAAATTTGTTTCTTGCAAAAAGAATTCAAAACAAAACCATGTATATATATAAATATTTTAGCATATTTTCACAAAAACATAAGTGATATGGTGGTTAAGGTGTTGAAGGAGTAAAATGGGAGGGGTTCGAATCCCTCTATGTGCAACAGGGGAGGCTTTTCAAAAAAATTCATGTATTTTTTGTATTTCGTATCGGGATATTATCGATAATATCTCGATATATTGCCCAAATCATTCATAAAAATGTTGAAGTTATCTCCCCATAATATCGGGATAATATCGATATATTGACGATAACACCATGGTTAGTTGCACCCTAATTTGTTTTCGGGTCTAAAAATTTACCCATCTTACACAAAACAGTTAAAATATAAAAATAAAAATAAAAATAAAAGTAAAGAACAGTACAACTTTTACCGGAGACTATTAACAACATTCCTTTGAATCCTTGTTTGGTGGTTGATACTTGCTTGTCGAGTTGTCCTACTTGTAATCTAAAAGCTCAATGACGTGGCTCTCCACATGCACGTCCCGGACACCTGTAATGCCAACAAAGCAAAGACACAAGCTTTCCTTTTCTTTTTTCTCTCTCTCTTTCTCTTTTTGCTAAAACTCTTACTTAAAGCCTCAAATCTCAGCTTAACACAAACACCGAAAGTCGCCTTCTCTTTTTACTAGAAACCCACAGATCTCTCTGCAACACAAAAATATGGAGACTTCAGCTTCGCCTCCGCCACCAACCACCTCACCCACCAAACCAAGGCTTCGCATAATGTGCAGCTATGGCGGCCACATAGTCCCCAACCCACGCTCCAAGTCCCTCTGCTACATCGGTGGCGACACTCGCATACTCTCAATCGACCCCACCACCGCCTCAACTCTCTCTTCTCTCACATCTCACCTCGCAGCCACTCTCTCTCTCCCCGCACCTCTGTTTCTCAAATACCAACTTCCCCGCCACGACCTCCTCTCCTTAGTCTCTCTCTCCACCGACGACGACCTTCTCATCTTCCTCGACGAGCTTCGCCGCCTCTCCAATTCCGCCTCTCGGATCAGATTGTTTGTGTTTTTCGCCAAGACCCATCATCAGTGTAAGGCCATTCAGCACCCAAAGACTGAGTCTTGGTTCATTGATGCGCTGGAGAGTGCTAAGATTGTGATGCAGAAGGGGATGAGGAGTAATGGGTTGGTGGGTTTTGAGGCAGAGAGTCAGAGTCAGAGCGAGTGTTTGAGTGGTGGTGGTAGTAGGCAATTTTTGAGCTCTGGGGTTGGTGGTGGTGGGTCTGTGGCTGCAGAGTCCATTGTGTTGGAGACTAGCTCGTCTTTTGGGTCTACTTCATCTTCAGCTTCTTTGTCTAATTTGCCCTCTGTTAGAGCTCGAGATGAGGATGTTATGGCTGGTACATTGCTGGACAATAAGGTCAAAGTGGCTACTGGGGAGTCCATTGCACGGTACTTGCTCTGCTATATACTTTCTCTGTTTCTTAATCAACTTTCCATTTTTTTTCGTTTTTCAGCTTCTTTGTTCATTCCTGCTAGAAACTGTTATTAGGCTCAGTTTTGAGGAGGATGTTTGACATTAAGGTTCTAGATATTAGAAATTGACTACCTTTTCTAGATTTCCTAAATTGCATTTTTAGAGCAGTAATGTTAGATGTTTGAATTGGGTATTTGGTTTTGTATGTGGCAGTGAACATTGTGTTGGAGCTGGAAATGGCATTTCTCTTTCGCACACTGATGCAGTGATTAATGTTGCTTCAATGGAGAACAGGGTTTCTTATAACTATCCTGAATCAGATATTAAACTTAGTGATCCTAATTTTTCTGGGATCCAGGTCCGGAAAACAGTTCAGGGGTCTGGATATTATCCAGTGACTCCACAACTGGATCAGCTTCAGCAACCGAGACTACAATTTGTTCAAGTAGGTACCCATTACATACCCCAGAATCCTGTTGGGATGTTGCCAGTTTCACCATACTACCCATTGTACCATCCGCAACTGCATCAGCAGCAGCAGCAACACTTACACTATCAGCCCAATCAGCCGTACCCGATATACATCTTGCCTGCTGCACCAGCTCAACCTTACAATTTTCCAATGCACGGTAGCTCATTCCCTATAGCTCATGGTCATCCCCCGTTGTATCCAAATGCTTCCTGTATCCCTCCCCAAGCAACTCAGAACGAACCTATTAAAGCTGGTGTTTCATCTGATTTTGCTTCACGAGTGTACAGACCAGTCCATTCAGAAATGCCACATCATGGAGGAGTGCCACCTATCCATGTTCCATATGATGGAAATCAGCAACAACCATCAGGTGTTTCTGAAATGCAGCATGAAACTATTGCTATTGATTCCAGGGAATCTCCTAAATACAGTAATCAGCCTGATAATGACCCTGCACGTGACCTGATATACAAATCTCAGCCTTCAGCACCGTCATTGGCTTACCAAAGCATGACCAAAGATACAATACATTTATCGGAAGCCTTGACCAAGTTTCATATAGACAACCGTAAACAACAGACTGGGAACTTGGACTCACAATAGTTATACTTTCTAGAAGGAACGATTTTGTGAGATGTTTTGTGGTAACTCCAACTTTCTTTGTTGGCTCTCATTTTGCCATGTGAATGTGTTATTCGTTTGTTGTAGTAACAAAGAACTTGAATCTTCTTTTTATTCTTTTTTCCCACCTTTTAGTTGTTGTCTGTTCTATGCTGTAATTTGATAGTATATGTATTTAAGTATATACTAGAAGTCACAGAAGAGTGATGCATAAGTTCAATCTAATGTAAGAGGATTTATTTAACTCTTTTAAAGTGCCGATGTGCTAGTATCTCAACCTAATGAATTCGTGTGTGCAGCAAATAGATTTGCTGAAGGACTTAACTTTCTGTCTCAAATATATGAAATGTAATTGTTTGTGTCATTTGTTGCAAGTATGCATGTTTATATTTATGTGTCGCCTCTTTTCAATCTTGGGGATAGGGGTATTGATCTATTGTGTCTGTATCTGTGCAGTCTTTTTTCTGCTGTGAATAAATTAACTGATGCTTTAAGTAGGGTCTCTGGTGTACTTCTGAAATGCAACGTTGGGGATAGGAATATTGATCTATTATTTCTTGATATAGTTAATTCACTTTAACGTAAGTTCTTTTTAAAAGCTGTAAACTTGTCATGAATTAGGACCGAAAATTGAGATAATGGTTATCCTAATGATAATTCCTGATCGGTGGCCTGTGGCAGTGATCATCAATGTTGTGGTTTTTTTGAGCCCCTTTGATGGAGAGCAGAGTATGATGCTCTGGCTTCAGGAACTAAGTCACCCCCTTTTTCACATGGGAACGACATTCACCTTCCTCTGTTCCATGCTAAATTTGGTATTCTCTTCTTCCTAATATCTCTGCAATTTTATCTTTTATCTTAATCTGAGACACCAGAGCATGAAGACATATGCTTCAGGAAGATGAAACAGCCATGCAGTTTTTTCTTAAGGTGTTTTTCTTTGCTCGGTGTCCTTTCTTTGTGTCTTACCAGTTACTTTGAACGTGTATCAAATCATTCAAATGTAACTTAGGCATGTCCTATATGTTCTTACATTAGTCGTTGGCAGTCAAGCCAATGAGTTTGACTGTCAATTGTTGGTGCTTTACTTCTGAAGATGGGGTGATGCAGTGATTTTGGCTGCTGCATAAACTAGGTTCAGGAGCCGCTAATTGTTGATGTTATTATGACATACAATTTTAAGAGAATAGAATGCAAGAAAACAAATCATTGATTAATTGAACAAAATAAGAAAAACTAGGCAGCAGAGTTCTTACGGGGCAGAAATATGTACAGTTGCCTTATCTGTTGTGCTATATAACTCATGAACATGATCAGTTCCTTTTTATTTGTTTCTGAACTTGCACTAGTTCTCAGTAAGTGGATTAGGCCAACCTGGCCAAATTGTCACAGACAAATCTCATAGAAGGTCTCCTTTCAGGGGCTTTATGAGCACAAGCAAGAGCCATTTTCAGTACTGCAACAATCTCCTCTTCCATGTCTACATCAGGAGCTAGGAAAGGGTCTAACAGATCAACGAGCGGCTTCCTTTCATCGATGCTGAGCTGAAACCATTGAATCAAATCCATTTCCAAAGAACCAATTCTTTTGAAGGGCATCTTTGCAGAAATCATCTCCAGTATAATTACCCCAAATGAGTAAACATCCCATTTCTGTGATGGCTTGGTAACTTTAGAGGCTTCCGGAGCTTTATAAAAAGCCCCTGCTGCAGCTAGTGAGCTTGCTACCCTTTGCACGTATGGAGAATTCTGAGGTGGTGTTTCAGTCATGATTTGTTCAAGTTGAAATGATGAAGAGGAGGAGGATTCTTCAGTTAAATTAGCAAGGCGACCTAATCCGAAATCGGAGATATGGGGTTCCATGTTTTGTCCAAGCAGTATGTTGCTAGGCCTTAAGTTTCCATGGACATATTTTCTGGGACTGAATTCATGAATATAAGCCAAACCTTTTGCCAAGCCTTTGATGATTCTGAGACGAACAGGCCAAGAAAGAGGTGTGAAGGATACCATTCCAGATTTGCCTAGTGAAGTCATATATCAGATGCTTAGTGTGTTGAAAAAAAAAGGTAAAAAGCTCAAGACAAATTAGAAAAGAAAATTATAGAGTTCGATGCTTAATGTGAAGTCATATATCACTTTACTATGGTAAAGTTTACTGACTTTTAGAGTTTGATACATCAAATTTTTATCGTCTCAGTCGCATACACAAAGTTGATTTTCTTACCAGCTTCATGCATGTCGTCAGTCTTTCTTAACAAGTCTGTTAACTGTTGATGTGGCAACAAATGTGCCACGTAGACTCACTCATATGATGCCATGTGGTTCGCATATATTATTAAATAAATAAACATTAATTAATTAATTAATTAATTAAAAATTAAAAATTACAAAAAAAAATAAAAATCCCTCTCTCCCGCTCTCTCTTATCTCTTATCTCTCTCTCTCCCTCTCTCCTTGCTCTCTCTCCCCCGTGGCCCCCATTGAACCCACACCCCCAACCCCATTGCCACCATACAACCACCCTCATCTCCACCCGAGATCCACCCCCAGCCCCACCCGAGAACCATCCAGATTCTCTCTCTCTCTACAAATTCAAAAATTGAAGAAAAAAAATTAAAACACTTTGCATTTGGGGTATATGTGGACCACATGGTATCATATGAGTGAATTTACGTGACACATTTGTTGCCACGTCAGCAGTTAACAGACTTGGTAATAGAAATATCGACGGCATGTATGAAATTGGTAAGAAAATCAACTTTTTTTTTTTTTATAGGTGAGACCCAAGGGTATACACCGCCGACAGTAGTGACTAATCCCTTTCGCCGCGGGAGCTCTCCCAATGGAGGTAAACGGCTGGCCACAAAATGCTCTCCATTCCCATGGGCGGGGATCGAACCCCCAACCTCATGGTTAAGGAATGAGGTGAGCTACCACCACACCACATCTCATGGTTTAAGAAAATCAACTTTGTGTATGTGACTGAGACGAAAAAAATTTGATGTATCAAAATCTAAAAGTTGGTAAACTTTACCGTAGTAAATGGAAAATTACCCAAAATAAAATATGTATTAACAAGCAGAAAGATCAGTTTAAAGTGTCTGAAATTTAATTTTGTTGGTAGAGGTTGGGGAAGGTTACCATGAATTGCAGAAGCAAGGTCACCATTAGGGATATAATCATATATGAGCAGTTTCTCATCAACAGACCAGCAATATGCTAAAAGAGTCACAATGTTTTGATGTCTGATCTTTCCAATTGCTTCAATTGCAGTTTGAAATTCCCTGAACCTTTGGGAACCTCCATCTCCCAATCTTCTCACTGCTAGGGTTCTTCCATCTTCAAGAACAACTTTATACACAATCCCAATTCCACTTTTACCCAGAAGAAAAGCAGATGCTTTCAACAGTTTCTCAAGATCTAAGTTCACCTGTAGGTCCACTTGCACAAAATGGTAGTGCTCCAAATTCTCTGATAGGGTCTCCAAGCCATCTTTTGCAAAGCAAGAAAAGTCTTTTCTGGCCATAAATTTCTGCTCAAAGTTGCATCCAACAAAATGTTCACTTACTTTACAAGCACAAACCTTCTTGTACCAGTTTGAGAACAACAGCCCAGCAATGCAGATTCCAATCATGACCCCTGCAATGACAGTAATCACAAAGATACCTGAGCTTGAGTTGCTGTGTTTCCCATTCATACCAGAGCTTCGACATGTATTTTGGGGCTGGTTGTCAAACAAGGACTGAGAATTTGAGCCTGGACTGCTAGAAGGACATGAAATCTTCGATGGGAGTCCACAGAGCAAAGGGTTTCCTACAAAAGCTGTTGGACCTAAATTGATCAGAGCACCATTCTGTGGAATAGGTCCACTGAGATTGTTGTAACTGAGATCAATATAAACTGTCTCAGGCAGGGCTCCTAGGCTTGCTGGAATCGAACCGTTGAAGAAGTTGTGAGACATATCAAGGGTTGCTCTTAAACTTGACAAGTTGCTCATGTCCTCAGGGATTGAACCGCTGAGATTATTGAAGGAAATATTGAGCTTTTGAAGACTAACCAAACTGGTTCCTATACTATCTGGAAGGGAACCAGAGAAATGGTTTTCACCGAAAACAAGCATCTTTAGTCTCTTGCATTGAACTATAGATGAAGGTATTGAACCATTGAATGAATTTTGTGAAAGATCTAATGTTTGCAGGTAACTAATTGAACAAAATAAGAAAAACTAGGCAGCAGAGTTCTTACGGGGCAGAAATATGTACAGTTGCCTTATCTGTTGTGCTATATAACTCATGAACATGATCAGTTCCTTTTTATTTGTTTCTGAACTTGCACTAGTTCTCAGTAAGTGGATTAGGCCAACCTGGCCAAATTGTCACAGACAAATCTCATAGAAGGTCTCCTTTCAGGGGCTTTATGAGCACAAGCAAGAGCCATTTTCAGTACTGCAACAATCTCCTCTTCCATGTCTACATCAGGAGCTAGGAAAGGGTCTAACAGATCAACGAGCGGCTTCCTTTCATCGATGCTGAGCTGAAACCATTGAATCAAATCCATTTCCAAAGAACCAATTCTTTTGAAGGGCATCTTTGCAGAAATCATCTCCAGTATAATTACCCCAAATGAGTAAACATCCCATTTCTGTGATGGCTTGGTAACTTTAGAGGCTTCCGGAGCTTTATAAAAAGCCCCTGCTGCAGCTAGTGAGCTTGCTACCCTTTGCACGTATGGAGAATTCTGAGGTGGTGTTTCAGTCATGATTTGTTCAAGTTGAAATGATGAAGAGGAGGAGGATTCTTCAGTTAAATTAGCAAGGCGACCTAATCCGAAATCGGAGATATGGGGTTCCATGTTTTGTCCAAGCAGTATGTTGCTAGGCCTTAAGTTTCCATGGACATATTTTCTGGGACTGAATTCATGAATATAAGCCAAACCTTTTGCCAAGCCTTTGATGATTCTGAGACGAACAGGCCAAGAAAGAGGTGTGAAGGATACCATTCCAGATTTGCCTAGTGAAGTCATATATCAGATGCTTAGTGTGTTGAAAAAAAAAGGTAAAAAGCTCAAGACAAATTAGAAAAGAAAATTATAGAGTTCGATGCTTAATGTGAAGTCATATATCACTTTACTATGGTAAAGTTTACTGACTTTTAGAGTTTGATACATCAAATTTTTATCGTCTCAGTCGCATACACAAAGTTGATTTTCTTACCAGCTTCATGCATGTCGTCAGTCTTTCTTAACAAGTCTGTTAACTGTTGATGTGGCAACAAATGTGCCACGTAGACTCACTCATATGATGCCATGTGGTTCGCATATATTATTAAATAAATAAACATTAATTAATTAATTAATTAATTAAAAATTAAAAATTACAAAAAAAAATAAAAATCCCTCTCTCCCGCTCTCTCTTATCTCTTATCTCTCTCTCTCCCTCTCTCCTTGCTCTCTCTCCCCCGTGGCCCCCATTGAACCCACACCCCCAACCCCATTGCCACCATACAACCACCCTCATCTCCACCCGAGATCCACCCCCAGCCCCACCCGAGAACCATCCAGATTCTCTCTCTCTCTACAAATTCAAAAATTGAAGAAAAAAAATTAAAACACTTTGCATTTGGGGTATATGTGGACCACATGGTATCATATGAGTGAATTTACGTGGCACATTTGTTGCCACGTCAGCAGTTAACAGACTTGGTAATAGAAATATCGACGGCATGTATGAAATTGGTAAGAAAATCAACTTTTTTTTTTTTTATAGGTGAGACCCAAGGGTATACACCGCCGACAGTAGTGACTAATCCCTTTCGCCGCGGGAGCTCTCCCAATGGAGGTAAACGGCTGGCCACAAAATGCTCTCCATTCCCATGGGCGGGGATCGAACCCCCAACCTCATGGTTAAGGAATGAGGTGAGCTACCACCACACCACATCTCATGGTTTAAGAAAATCAACTTTGTGTATGTGACTGAGACGAAAAAAATTTGATGTATCAAAATCTAAAAGTTGGTAAACTTTACCGTAGTAAATGGAAAATTACCCAAAATAAAATATGTATTAACAAGCAGAAAGATCAGTTTAAAGTGTCTGAAATTTAATTTTGTTGGTAGAGGTTGGGGAAGGTTACCATGAATTGCAGAAGCAAGGTCACCATTAGGGATATAATCATATATGAGCAGTTTCTCATCAACAGACCAGCAATATGCTAAAAGAGTCACAATGTTTTGATGTCTGATCTTTCCAATTGCTTCAATTGCAGTTTGAAATTCCCTGAACCTTTGGGAACCTCCATCTCCCAATCTTCTCACTGCTAGGGTTCTTCCATCTTCAAGAACAACTTTATACACAATCCCAATTCCACTTTTACCCAGAAGAAAAGCAGATGCTTTCAACAGTTTCTCAAGATCTAAGTTCACCTGTAGGTCCACTTGCACAAAATGGTAGTGCTCCAAATTCTCTGATAGGGTCTCCAAGCCATCTTTTGCAAAGCAAGAAAAGTCTTTTCTGGCCATAAATTTCTGCTCAAAGTTGCATCCAACAAAATGTTCACTTACTTTACAAGCACAAACCTTCTTGTACCAGTTTGAGAACAACAGCCCAGCAATGCAGATTCCAATCATGACCCCTGCAATGACAGTAATCACAAAGATACCTGAGCTTGAGTTGCTGTGTTTCCCATTCATACCAGAGCTTCGACATGTATTTTGGGGCTGGTTGTCAAACAAGGACTGAGAATTTGAGCCTGGACTGCTAGAAGGACATGAAATCTTCGATGGGAGTCCACAGAGCAAAGGGTTTCCTACAAAAGCTGTTGGACCTAAATTGATCAGAGCACCATTCTGTGGAATAGGTCCACTGAGATTGTTGTAACTGAGATCAATATAAACTGTCTCAGGCAGGGCTCCTAGGCTTGCTGGAATCGAACCGTTGAAGAAGTTGTGAGACATATCAAGGGTTGCTCTTAAACTTGACAAGTTGCTCATGTCCTCAGGGATTGAACCGCTGAGATTATTGAAGGAAATATTGAGCTTTTGAAGACTAACCAAACTGGTTCCTATACTATCTGGAAGGGAACCAGAGAAATGGTTTTCACCGAAAACAAGCATCTTTAGTCTCTTGCATTGAACTATAGATGAAGGTATTGAACCATTGAATGAATTTTGTGAAAGATCTAATGTTTGCAGGTAACTGAGCTTCCCTATCTCAGCTGGAACCGAACCAGATAATGAATTTCCTGATAGCACCAAGCTCTGCAGCTCTTTTGCATTGAAAAGCTCATATGGCAAGCTTCCAAAGAGCTCATTGCTCCGGAGATTCAGATGGCGGATTGCAGAGAGGTTTCCAAGAGCACGAGAGAAAATCCCAGAAAGATTTCTGCTTGGAATGCTGAGAGATACAACTTTGTCTTGTCTGCATGTGACTCCAGTCCATGAACATGGGGTTTGGTCTGAAGAGTTCCAGTTACTCAGAGAGCCTTCAGGGTAGTGTGTTAAGGATTCTTTGAATGAAAGTAGAGCCAATCCTTCTTCGTTTACACAACTTATAAATGCAAGAGAGTTGCATAGAAGGAAAACCAAGTAAAGCACTTGCAAAACCATCTTAGCAAAAGCAAAGTTCTTGCCAAAGAAGATATCAAAATGCCAAGGAGCAAACTGGGTTTTATGAGGACTGATGAGGGGAAGCAAAAACAGATGGAGAGAGAGAGAGAGATGACATAAAACAAGTTTATTCTTGCTGATTCTTGAAGGACATGTATGTAAAGTAGGCATTAGTGGTGACCAAGAAAAAAGGTGATGCTGACTATAATCTCTACTAAGAGAGTAAGTAAGACGTTGCTTTTTGTGGGCCCTCCTTACTGCTAATTAGATATAAACACAATGTCTTTTTGTCTCTTAAAACCACTCAAAGAAGGTGATTGATTTGTTGTAATCTCCGAATATGAATAAATGCATTTCTTCAAACTTGAGCGTAGGATATATGCTTGAATTTATTGTCAGCCATGAAGAGGTTCCTTTGATTGCTAATCATTACAGGGAGGCGTGGTCCATCTTTAGTTACTAAGCGCAATTAGAGGCGATGTTTGTGTGTGTATTGATTGCCGCTGAAAGTGCAAGGGAAAGATTTGGTGTGGTCAATTTTATTTTGACCAACCCATGAGCCTCCATGGCCCAGCAAATTGACTTAAGGAAAATCCAGCCATGATGAGACCATGGAGTTTGAAGACTGGAGCAGAACAAGCTTGGTAAGTCTTCTCTCCTGCTCATCATGTTTTGGTGTTTGCACCACAAATAAAATAAAAAAGCCCTTTTTTTCCCCATAAACATGGTCCATATATCGTAGTTGTTAACCAAATATCTGACTCTTGGTTAGCATCTGTATTGGATCTAAATATTTGTTAGATAATCACTGGATTTAAAGACCCTACAATTAGGAAATGAATCAACAATGTATATCGAGTTAACACTCTCCCTCACATGTAGTGTAGCCCCCACCCATCCTCTATGTAGAGAGACAGAGGTCCGGATTGGCTATTGAAGGCAGTGGCGGATCCAGGATTCAAAAGTCAAGTAGGCGAAACTTATCTTAAAAACTCAACGATACGAGGGAATTTCATTCATAAAAATAAAAAGATACACCTAGTCGGCGGGACGTAATGAGCCTTACCCTCAAATATGCATCTCTATACATAAATAAAAGCTAAAAAAAATTAAGAAAAACAAATAAATGCAATGCAACACAAAAGTAAACTATTTAAATCTAAAACTTTACCCTACAAGGCTTAGAAATCTTAAATTCCTTAATTATCTCTGCATTATCGATACTATAAGCAAACTCTCTTTCAATGTGGAGGATATCAGCAAGGAATTCATCAGCTATGGTGCTCCGAAGTCTATTCTTAATAATTCTCATACATGAAAAAACTCGTTCCATTGTTGCTGTAGAAACAGGAAGAGTCAACACCAACCAAATCAACCTGTAAAGCAAATGGTAGTTTTCTACCAAAGCCACCAATTGTTGACATAACTGAGGAAAACCCCCAAATTATAATTCATTCCTAATTAAACCCTAGAATACTTAATTTCAAATTAAAATTAAAATTAAAATGCATACATTTATTTTAGGAAAAACCCAATAGAAGAATATAATTAAAGAGGAGAGAATAAGAAGAATACTTGTTGGCCTTAGATACGAGAAGATGCTGCCAAGAGAGAATGTCAAGACTCAAGAAGAAGCTGCCAAGGAAAATGATTTGGGACAGTCGACTATTGCACAGCCGAAAGGGAATTGACTGCTTATATTGCTTGTCTCCCCTGCTCTCCAAGCATTTAGCTCCATATTTCCAGCTGGAAGGAATGGACACGTGTTAGGCTCTGCCTATGTCCTTGCTCATGTAGCTCCTTTAGCTGTTTTATCTTTGGCACTAGCAGTGTTTTGCTTTTGACCCTTGTTAAATTTGATTGGTTTTTTTAACCTCGGGCACCATGTTGTTTCCCTTTGTGGCTGGGCCCTCTTTCAAAAATATTGCTTCCCCTTTTTTATTTTTTTTTAAGTTTGACTAGGCCATCCCATAACACAAGTGTGGGCTGGTTGTAATTTTCTCCATTTTTTTGTAAGTTTGAGTGGGCATAGCACATGTGGGTTTCTTTTAAGTTTGGGTAGGCATGGGTTCACACTATCACACGGGCCGGGTAGGAATAGCTTTGCTTAAATATAAGTTTTTTTTTAGTGAAAAAATTTGGGTTAGTCAGTGCCTACCCTGCCCTTGGCCCTTGTTGTAGGACTGCCACTAATTGAAGGCTTGGACTTTGGAGGTTTCGAACCTAGGACCCCTTGGACTCCAGAAGCTTACGGTGATGGGAAACGATAAACGTGTACATCATGTAACATGTTTCAAATTGAGAGTCAGTGTGATTTAGGAATTCAGGTACAGATAAAATTAAATAAAATAATTCTGGAAGTTCCTTCCAGTTCTAGCCTTGATCAGGATAAAACAATCTTGGAGTTATCATTAATCTGCTTTGACCTCTGTGTTACTGTGCACTACTTATATTTGTGTTCACTTGTGCTAAACTTTGATAGGCATCATCTCTGATTAAATATGTTGTAGATGGATAACAAACCAAGTATACAGGAAAGGATACAGGAGTTTTTATCTTTCCTTTTTTTCCCTGCCTCTGATCTCCTACCTATGTCTAATGCATTTAGACTATTATTTTCTCATCTTTGTTCTTTTCGTCTCATATTTATTTCCTGAGCTAAAAATTCACTGGTAGACGTTCAGTTTGTATACAACAATAGAGCAGCATATTCAGAATACTTCAAGGCAGAACGTACCGAAAACACCTCTGAAATAAGACTTTTATCAATGAGCATGACCACAACAATGACCTCTTCTTTTTATTGACACAAAAGCATTCAACATACAATTACATACATGAATTTGCCACTCTCTAAGCCCACAGCTATACACTCGGACATCTATCTCACACGCCTGCGGTAAGTCAAAAGCTAATGGAGCAGTACTTATTTGAAAAAAGCAAAGCTACAAGCTCCCAAATCTCAAACTATGTGAGTGTAATTTATTCATTTGATAGACTAGATTCACTTGGCCAATGAGTATGTAGTAAACTTCAAATAGCTCACACTTCTTTGGCAATTTTCTTACCACTAAAAATCTTGGCCAGATTAGGCATTACCTTTTTTTTCTTCTGGATTGGGAAAGTATTCCGAGCTCCAGGGGAAGCAGATTTTCTAAACTTAGCTCGCCTGGATGGAGTCAAGCTTCCATTACTTTTCATGGATTTTCTAGGCTGTGCTTGTTGTCGGTTTCCGTGTACTGCATTTCTCTCCCGCTTTTGTCCCAAGTTCTGTAATTCTCCCTCAACCCTCCTCTTTCTAGAAACCTGTCTTTCTGCTCTATAGGTCACTTGCTCTTCCTGCACTCTCATCTCTTTGAGATCTCTAAGAGATAGGTCTATCTTTATCAATATTTCCTTCTCACTGGCCTTCAGAGCTTCAATCCATGCCTGAGCTGCTGCCGCCTTTTTATCGGCAATTTCTTCAGCCCCAGCTGCACGTCCAGTCAGATAGTCGTATTCAAACTTGGATATGGTAATAGAAGAACTACTCTGTGATTCAAAAGCTCTAGCTCTTATGGTATCCTTGATAAGTCCCTCGAGATTTTCAAGAGCTGCAGCTTCTGATGATTTGACT